AGCCGGAAGGTATTGAATGAAGCTAGTTAATAATCAACAAAAGGAGATGGTTCTTCACCAGATACATTGTAGAAGTCCTTGTTAATGGATGTTCTCCATGTTAAACTTTAGAATGAGTTAAAAGGGAGTCTGGACAAGTTCATATATAAGAAATCCATTGTTGGTAACTAAGTGTGCAGAATTCACATTCATCTCTGGAAGTTCTTTATCAAAAAATAACATTCTGGGGAAATACCTGTACTTGGCCTTTGGTCCATGCTAAGAGCCCACTTTCAGGTACAAGATATAGATCTAGAAGCAGCATTTGTTTGACCCATGAAGGCTGCTTTTAGGTTAGCATACTCTATATTTTTATCCTGACCCAAGTCTTTGAATGAATTTTGGCTAGCTGACAAACCCCCTCACTTACTCATGGGCATTACATGCACTTCGCTTCTCAGCTAGGGTTTTGGGGTTTTTTGTTTGTTTGGGTTTTTGGTGTTTTGGTTTTTTGTGGGGTTTTTATTTTTTGTTTGTTTGGGTTTTTTTGGGGGGAGGGCAAGATCAAAGGAAACACCTCCTGATGTTTGAGCTTTACTTTTTAAATTTCTAAGTTAAATATATCAATTTGCTTGTTTAATAGTGTGGAGGACAGCTTAGGACTTACTTTCTACATGATAGTTATTATTTACAAATGATGACTGGTCTAGCCAGTCCTGTTGGAACAACTTCCTGGAGCAATAACACAGAAATTCAGAGGGCAGTGGCATATATGGATCACAGAACAGTTGGAATAAGGAAATTTCTGATTCATCCAATTAAGTATTTTTTTTCTGGAACCATAATGCTACTGTTCAGACCCATTTTTACTTTGGTTTTAGTATCTTTTTGTTCCACTTTTCCTTACTATCATCCTAAAAAGATTTTAAACCCACCTTGCAAAGGTTTCCCTGAGACCATACTCTTTAGAGAAATAACCCACAATACTGGAATTAGGGAGGTTTTTGAATTCTCATTTCAGCTTTGTGACTGATTCACATGACTTTGAACAAATCATGTAAATATCTGTGCTGTCTCTAAATTGAAGATAACAGCAGCCTTATAGGAATGCTTTTAAAGTAAAGTATGTAAAATTCTATGAAGACTTAAATTATGATTTATTAATGTTTTTGAAATACTGCTTCAGGGATGGAAAAAACATGCTAATGAGTCTTGGGTGCATAGAACTGGTTATGTTTTGTGGTAGGCTTGAAGTGATCTTTCATACGGATCAGCAAACGTGGGATGGAAGCATAGTCTATGTGCAGATGAGGTTTATTTTTTCTGCATACTTCTCATGGCACCTCATGAAGACCAAATGTCTGCTTTCACCTAGCTCTACAAAAAAGCCTGTTTAGAACCCCTGCAAAACTGAGCAGGGGTGACACTTGTGTATTTTATATGCATAACAGTTGTACGTTGAACCCTGCCAAGGAGAGGCTGGCCCCCTCTGCCCTGCCTGCCTGGCAGGTGATGCTGTGGTGTAGCCCGGGGTGCCATCCCCCTAAATGGGGCTACGAGAATGCTCTGAGTTACTGCTCTGCAGGAACTGCAGTGCAGCCAGGAGGAAGAAGGTGATGCATGCCTTGGTGTTGTTCAGACATACGTTTGAGATATTGCCAAATTGTGCAGTGAAATCTGGGAGCTGAGAAGCTTTGTATTTTTACAGGTGAGACATACACTGCAGAGAAATATAAATAACAGGTGATTCAAACAGTCCCTGCCCTAAAGAGCTCCAGAGTGTTGCAAGTTGAATGGAAACAAGGCATTGCTCTGCGATAGGCAAAAGTTATTTCCTTCTATTACATGGTTTTAGCATTGTTTTTTCTTAGAGATCTTTTCAGTGGAAGCCTAAAGTCAGAGAACTTGTGTAGCAAAATGTGTTTTTTCCTGTTTCTAGTAATGAAGTCACACATATTTATAACATTATCATCTAAGAATCCCAAGTAGCAATTACTAATTACAAAGAGGGTGAAGATACTCCTCATTTTATTGAGGAAATGGAGCCATGATGAATTAAAGGAACTTTCCCTGAATCACAAGAAAAAGTGGAGCTAGAAATTGAGCCCAGACCTCCTGACATGCGGTTCACTGTTTCAGTCATATGACCATCCTTTTCCAAGGATCAGATGTGTACACAAGTCTCTCTGGTTTAGTCTTCACATTAGTTTCCAAAGCTACAATTCAGTTCCTCTGAACTTTGCCCTTTCACTCATTTCAGCAAAAAGGCAAACATTTGTCCATTTGTCTCAATAGTAAGTAGAATCTGCTTTCTATACAGATGACGATTTCCTCTCCATTCACATGCTTCTCATCCTACTATTAGAAGGCCAGCCTGTGTCAGCAAGGGCCTGTTTAAATTAGAAACCAAATAATGTTTCAGGGATGCCTTGGGCTGTCTTGTGGAGAGGGTTCTTCTCAACCCTTGCCAGTTACGACTTGGTGGTCCTGCCAATCCTTGCTAAGTTTCAAAACAAAAGTTGCTCAAGCTCGAAGAGCGCTGCTGGCCCAGCATACGCAGCTGGACAGCTGGTGAGCTGGGACGAAGCAAGGCCCAGTGCTTAACCAGGCACAATTCACCAGACCGTGTCAAGGGACAGGGGTGTGGCACTGTCCTAATTGTTACCATTCCTCCTCTGCAAGACTTCTCCTGATATTTATTTAATAAGCCCAGGCTCATAAAATGGAAATGATTGAAGCAGTGAGGCAGTAGCTGATGTTTATGTGGAGATGACATGCAGCCAGAGTAGGTGAAGGGTGAAATGCTCAATTTCTGGCTTTACAAAGCTTTATCGGGCAATTACAGATGAAATAATACATCGGGCAACCGTGCCCAGGAGTGGAATACACACTGCTAGGACCTCAGGAGCTGTACTTCAGGCCAGGTTTGCAGAGCCACAGCTCCTATTTAAGTGTGCATGACTGGTGTGGTCTTCTCAGGCACGGTGGAGAAGTTTCTGTTGCTGCCAGGAAGTAATATTCATGAACTCCAGTCCGATGTCTCCTGCCAGTGGCTACAAAAATCAGGGATGTGGTATTGCTCTGTTCTCAGA